TTTTCATTATATTTTTTAGTGATCTGTGACCAGTGATTATAGCTTGCTGAAAGCTCAGATGGTTAACATTTTTTAGCAATAAAGTGTTTTAACTAAAATATGTACTTGTTTTACGGGGATCCCTGGGTGGCTCAGAGGTTTAGCACCTGCCTTTGGCCCAGGGCATGATCCTGGAGTCCAGGGATCAAGTCCCACATCAGGCTCCCTGCATGCAGCCTGCTTCTCCCTTTGCCTGTGTCTCTGCCTCTCTCTCTCTCTCTCTCTCTCTCTCTCTCTCTCTCTCTCTCTGTGTGTGTGTGTCTCATGAATAAATAAATCTTTAAAATAAATAAAATACGTATTTGTTTTAGACATAATGCTATCATATGCTTAACAGATTACAGTATAGTGTAAACATAACTTTTATATGCACTGGAAACCAAAACATCCATCTGACTCACCTTAGTAATATTCAATTTATTGCTGCTTTCTGGAACTGAACCCACAGTATCTTTGAAGTATGTATATAGCCTTTGATTACCTATTCGCTAAACAAGGAAGCATTTACGCAATAGCAAACAGCACCGGTTGCACATGGATAAATCCTCCAAAGTACAAACCCAATCACATAAAATTAGGGAACAAGTACACTGGCTACAATAAATTCCACCTGAAGATCTAAGATCCTTCGCTCTCTTTAGCAGGTCACTTTCAGATTTGGACTCCTTGCCTAAGACTATTATATGAACTAGTATCATTTTTTTAAAGATTTTTTATTTATTTATTCATGAGAGATACAGAGAGAGAGAGAGGCAGAGACACAGTCAGAGGGAGAAGCAGGTTCCATGCAGGGAGCCCGATGTGGGACTCGATCCTGGGATCAGGCTCTGGGCTGAAGGCGGCGCTAAACCGCTGAGCCACCCGGGCTGCCCATGAACTAGTATCATTATTCTGTCCTTATATCATTCTGTATAATCATCTTTAAGCTCTGTACCTATTGTCTATCAAAACCTTGTAGAAACAACATATCCAACAGGGTGATGCCACCTCAACATTTCAAGATATCGCCAATGCTTACAATCTTGGTAAAATACAGATTTTGGGTGGGAAACACCCTAGAGTTCTCCTTCCCACTGTATCTTGTTACTCAAATGTGGCTTCAGTGGTTTCCAATCTGTGCACCTCCCTCTGATGTGGGACATGAAATACAGGAAAGGACCTTCCAGGCACCAAAGGATAAAAACAATTCTAACAAGCAACAGATGGCTCAACTCTTGATCAGTGATGCTAAGAAAGGTGTGATAATGTGTTAAAGGAAACTTAACTCAAAATTGGAATTTTGAAACCATAAAGAGATGACTCACACACATATCACTTGTTCCAGCTTGCACAGTCCAGCAGTAAGAAGGAAGGTTTGTTCTCTGCCCAGCAACAAGCTGCCCTCACCTACAGCCAATGAGAAGCTGCCACCACTTCAAATTCTCATTTTCTTCCAATGAACTTTTGTTCAAAACACCCTCCCAAACTTCCTCCTTTCCTCTATAAAAGGACACTCCTATTTTGTTCTCAAGGCTTGCCTATGATTCACCATAGCTTGCTTGTCCTGAATTGTAATCCCTCTGTTGTTCCCAAATAAACCTGATTTTGCTGCCTGAATCATCTACCTTTTAACTGTTAAAAAGTTGACATAACCCAATTAAAAAATGGACAAAAGGTTTCAATAGATATTTCAAAAGTGACATAAAAATTGCTAAGAAGCACATGAAAATATATTCAACATCATTGGCCAATAGGGAAATTAAAACCACAATTAGATACTACTTTCACACCCACTTGGACAGCTATTTTAAAAAGACACAATTAACAAATTAAGTTCTGGAAAAATTAAAACTCCCATACACTGCTGGTGGAACTATAATATGGTGCAGCCTCAATGGAAAAGTCTGGTAGTTTTAAAAAGTTAAACACAAGTTTACTATACAACCCAGCAATTCCACTCATAAGTATCTATCCAAGAAAAATGAAAACATATGTCCAAAGACTTGCACATGAATGCTCAGAGCAGCATTATTCATTATATCCAAAAAGTAGAAGTAACTCAAGTGCCCATCAACTGATGAACAGATAAAACAAAATATGGTATATCCATACAATGGAATAATATTTAGCAATAAACAAGAATAACTATTGATAGATGGTACAAAATGGATGAATCTCAAAAACATCATGCTAAGTGAAAGAAGCCAGAGATAAGACAGCGCTTATTTTATGAATCCATTTATATGAAATGTCCAAAAGCTAATCTATAGAGACAGCAAATCAATGGTTGCCTGATTGCCTAGCGGAAAGCCACAGCTGGGATCAACTATGAACTTGCATGTGCCAACTTGTTAGGGTGACATAAATGGTCTAAAAATGAATAGTAATCACTGCACAATTCCAAAAACCTACTAAATTTACTAAAAGTCACTTAATTCTTTAGAAAACAGAGTATACAATGTCAAAAAGGTGATTTCCATATGAACTCTGCCTTCCTAAAGTTAGAGAAAGGTACCAGGATGATTATAGATGTTTCTGTATCAGAGATCTTAACAGGGAAATGATTTCTACATACCTAGCAGAGCTTATAAAGAGTTCTAAGAGAATGAACCAGGTAACATTGCAACGTCTCTTTGGAACAGAGTAAGAAAAAAAAAGATATTTAGTAGAAAATAAAATGTTCAAGATTTATAGTGTTATCTAACTTTTCTGATAAATTTTTAAGGATTTTCTTCTCTACTTCTACTACATTTTTATTAAAGTATTGCAAACTCAATGTACTTCTCCAATAACTGTTCTCTCATAGTAAATTCAGTCATTCAGGATCCATAAACAATGGAGAATATACATACCCCAGCCTAAAATTTTATAAATCCATTTGGTATTGATTTTGAGCCTGATTTGAGGCTCCACCACTACCAACTTGGAACTGCCACACCATATGAGATTTTTCTGGCACTCTCTGTAGCCTAGGTAATCAATCCAACTTTCTACTGGCTAGGCTGGCCTCCTTGTAGCTGGTTTTCATAAATACAAAATCTGTATAATTGTTACTGGAAGTACTTGCTGAAATATGGAACTGGTTTGAAATACCATTTATTTTAAAATGTACATGCACAGAGTCACATACATGCAGTAACACATCTTCCACACCCAGCCCCAATCAATCAAGTTAATGTTTTTTATTAGAGAACGAAAAATTCCAATACAGTTTATCTTTCTTTTCTGGAGCCTTAGTAAATGTTTTCCAAGAAATCAAGAGGAATATGATTGAAAAATGAAAAAATGAATTAAAAGGTAATATATACCTTAGTATAATTAGTACAATTCTAAATAAGCAGTACCTAATTTTAACTCTGGGGAAAGAGACCTTTGATAGACCTAACAAAAGCAAATTCTGTTTTGATGCAGTTATTCTTGTATATGCAGATGAATGCTTGTTTCCATGTGAATCTGGCACAGTCCATTATATTGAAACATCAGTTTAAGATGAACACATTTTCTATCAAGTTTATGTAATAAATGATCCCAACACATGGTATGAATTCTATCATTTGTAACAACCTTTCCTCTCTTCTTTAAGGGAATAAAGAGATAAAGTTCTGAGCTGCACATCTCTGAAGGTGAGCAACATCCTCATGGATGTGCTTTATAGAGCTGAAGTTGGGTGGCCCAGAAATGCCCTGCTCACGTGATAAAAGGTAAGTCAATCACATCACAGTTGAGATGCACTAAACCGGACAGATTACAATGAAACCGGGAGCTAGGGAGCCTTCCAAGAGTTTCAGATGAGGACAAAAGTACTGGCACATACAAGTCTTCGCCGGAAAATAAATAGCTCGGCCTCTTTCCTTCAAATTCTGGTCCCAGGGATCCCTGGGTGGCGCAGCGGTTTAGCGCCTGCCTTTGGCCCGGGGCGCGATCCTGGAGACCCGGGATCGAATCCCACGTCGGGCTCCTGGTGCATGGAGCCTGCTTCTCCCTCTGCATGTGTCTCTGCCCCCCTCTCTCTCTCACTGTGTGCCTATCATAAATAAATAAAATTTAAAAAAAAAAAAAAATTCTGGTCCCAAATCTATCCCAAATCTCTCATATTTCAAAAACTCCTAATCTTTTCCCCTCCAGACTTGTAGCCCCGTACAAGACCACAGAACGTTCACGGCTGTAAAAGCTCCCACGTAAATACAAACAAGCAAGCCAAAGAGCGACACCTCCCAAAACCTTCTCAAGGGCTTTGGACCCGATTTGGCCTGGGAGTTGCGGAGAGACGGTCGCCCACCAGAACTTCTCCCCGGTGCGATGAAGGAAGGGACTGGAGGGCGGGAGGGGTAACGGCCTCCGCCCCCTCCTAGCGCCAAGGGTGCAGGAGATTGGAGAGCGACCCGCCAGCTGTACGGGGGGATGGGTTCGAGGAGGCGAGCTTTGCACAGCTCCCACGGATCCGGGGCACAGAAGGTCCACCCTGCCTCTCTCCTTTTACGCAGGCATAGCTGCGGGCGCTCAATGAACAAAAAGAACCGAAACGCCAATACCCAATTCTCGCCGCTCTAGGAGGTCCCTTGCGCGTGCCCCCGGCGCCGGCTCCGCGCCGGCTCCACCCTCCCGGGCTCCCCCGCCCCTCCCCAGCCGGTCCAGGCCCTGGCCACGCCCTTCGCGCCCCACAACTCCCTGACCACACCCCTCGCACCCCGCCACGCCCCTGGCCACGCCCGGCGCGCTCCGGCTCCATCCCCGCCAGCCACGCCCTTGGTCACGCCCCCTCGCGGGCTGGCGCCACCTCAAGCCCCTTCCCACCTCCCTCCTCAGCCCCAACACAAGGCGAGGGCATTGCTCACCCACCTAGATGCGCCGGGCGCTGCGGACGTTCTCGCGAGTCTTCCCTCCCCCCCCTTCCCCCTGCCCCACCCCTACTCCTGGGCTGACGTGTCGCCCAGACCCCCGAGGGGAGCAGCCGCCTTCGCTGTCGTTCTGCGGCCTCTTACCGGGTGGTCTGCGCCAGAGCGGCTTCAGCAGTTTGGGTAGTGGCAGAAAGGACGCCTCCGCCCGGGTTCTGTGGCTTGCGAATTTGGCTTTGCCTCGTACTGGTGTTTTGTTTTGTTTGACGTTTTTGGAATTTTCCCGCGGTAGCTCGACAGTGGAGCGCGGCGCCCGCGCGCTCTAGCCCGCAATGCACTCTGGGGCCTGGCGACGGTCGGCGCGCCCCCGCGGCCTCGCGGGAAAACTGCGCCGAATCTCGCGCTCGTGGGGGAGGGGCGGGGACGTCGCGCCGGTTCGGCCGGAAGTCCTCCCGGCGCCGCGCGCTCCGCCGGGGGTCGGGGAGCGGCGGCGGCCCGCGGTGTACGCCGGAGGGTGCTGGGGTCGCGGGCGCGAGCCAGGCGGCGACTAGGACCCGGGGAACAGAAACCGGGGGCTTTTAAGTCAGCTTGTTGCCCAGGTATTGCAAGATTGAATCCGAAATGCGCAGGAAGTAAAATGGAAAAATCAGTTTTTTAAAAAGAAAAATCGAGGCTTTGTCAGGGGTAAAACCTCTTAATGAGGCGTTGCGTATGGTTTCCTAGCTATGGTCGTACCCAGAAAAGGATCTTTTCTGGGTGAATAGTCCTTCCCATCCCCTCCCAATCAGTACCATTCAGTGTGAGTCGGTTTCGTATCAGTTCGATGAAACCACTTAAAGCATTTTCTGTAAACTTCGTCCCTGTTAATTATTAGCTTGTCTTTAATGATGATTTTTTTTTTCCTTTTTATCCTGCAACTTAGCAGGGCATGGAGGGTTTTCACAGATGTTTAAATCGTGAAAACACAATCTGAGGAACGTAACCTTAAGCTTTAGATACTTTTAAAATCCGTGCCTAATAATTTTAAAGCTACAACGTCAGGGGTGCTTTCATAAAAATTTAACTGCAAGGCAGTGTATGCATGTAATGAAAATACTCAAACACAGTCTTCTGTGGTGAAGGAATACTCATTTTATCTAAGAATAAACTGAATACAGGGATTAGGTTACATCCAGTTTACACAGGTTGCAAATGGCAAGCTTAGCATGTAGGCTAGTGGTAGGAACAATCTTTTTTTTCATAGAGAGATACAAAGGGACCCCAGCCCAGAACCTGCGACAAAATTGTTGGGATCTGCAGCCATATTCAGGAGTCAGGTGTTAAATCCATTCTTGAAAATATTCCCTGCCCAATAAAGAGGTCTGTGCTATATTGATGAGTGCGTAGTTCGTTGTGGATAAATCCAAAGCAGAGCCTGTGTAGAGACAAACTCTGCTTTGAGGTTGTTGTTTTTTTTTAATTTTTATTTATTTATGATAGTCACAGAGAGAGAGAGAGAGGCAGAGACACAGGCAGAGGGAGAAGCAGGCCCCATGCACCGGGAGCCCGATGTGGGATTCGATCCTGGAGACCCGGGATCGCGCCCTGGGCCAAAGGCAGGCGCCAAACCGCTGCGCCACCCAGGGATCCCCTGCTTTGAGTTTTGTATAACTCATCATGGCACTTTGGCCATAAGAAAGTCATTGTGTTTGTGGTGACAAATGTGAGCAAGTTATTATTTAAGACTTGCTTCTGCCAGCAAAGGAGACAAGCCATCTTTCTTTAGAGAAAATATCTATTGTGGTACTCAGGTCCTTTCACTGAAGGACCTGAAATACCATTTCTGGTATTTGTCGTATTAATAACTGAGGTCTTGCCATATTGCAGTCTTTTTTATTCCGTGGTTAATGAAGTGATGCTAGGCTAATGCAACTTTACTATAGATTAAAGGATGTCATGTTTAGGCCTACTTTAGACCTAAATTGGTAGCATGTCTAGGACAAATATATAGATGTAAATTTATGGGGATTTGTAGATAAACTCATTTTATTTGGCATTCGTATGTATGGAACTGTCCTAATACTTTAAGCAGTAAGGAGATGAACATTTTATAAAATGCCTGAAAAGTTTTCTGAGAAATACCTAGAAAAAATCCTAGTTTTAATCATCTCATAACACTGAGTGTGTGTACCTTAGAAACACTTTCGGTTATAGTTCAGAGTCTAATCATACTTAAATAACGTGGCAAAAATGAAAAAGGGCATGCATAGGTGAAAATTATCTCATTCTTAGAAATAATTAGAATTTAATGATATATATCCATTAGAATCCTTATATTCTAGAGGGGTAAACATCACAGGTAAGTGCTACAAAGTACTTGATATCAAATCTTTGAAAATTTAGCAAATAGAATCAACTGTCTTGGAATCTAACCATTGTAGTGAGATTCATATTTACAGAATTAGTCCACTTAGTTTTTAGCTTTCATTAGGCACCTCAGCACTGTATTGCCCATGGCTGTGATACTTGTTTTGCTATCTCAACTGTGAATATTTAGTGAGTATTTAATACTGGGCTGATGCCTTGGACTGATTATTTTCTTTAATTATTCTAGTGATCTCATGTGGTAGGTAATATTCTAATTTCACAGCTATAGAAACTGATGCATAGGGTAGTCTTTACTAGTAGGTGAGGTACCTTCAAATCCAGATAGAGTTACTCTGGGGCTTTGCTTCTTACCACTTGCTATGCTCTTGCTCATGCCCTAGGCTGGACACTAGACCACTTCCTAAGTTCTTGGTGGAGCAGAAGTTGGGAAGGGGGACCCTAGATGTTTATATATGGTAATCACCACATTGTTTTCCTCCTAAAACATTCTGAGGAAATGTGCGTGGAATTAGAAAAGAAAACAATAAGAATGTTTGTGCACAGAATGCTATAAGAAATGGTGCTGTAATAGGAAAGGTCTTTGATCTGCCACCCTGATGGAGGAAAAGCACCTGAGATCAGGAGGACACAAAGGGCAGCCAGAGTGGAAATTAATGGAATAAAGGAAATGTAACTTTTGCAGGTACCTCTCCCACCCTTCACATGCTCACTCTCTAGGGGCTGCTGAAAAAATGCACCTTAGGAGGACATATTTGTACTAATTGCCTCACTCCTTGCCACAGCTATTTGAACTAGGAATGGTAACCCGACCCTCACCGAATCAAGAAGCTATTGCTGAGGAATTTGGAATGGCAAAACTGAGATTGTACCACAGGAACTAAACCCCCATGCCAACCAAACTTACTAGGGGAAGAAAAAATATAAGTAGTAAAGAAAGTTGGTTTGGTTCACAGAGAAAAGCAAAAAAGAAGTTGAAAGGCTGTGGTATTCCATAAGAAATAGTGGTAGCCTCCATTCCTAATTTTTTTAAGCCCGATTTTAAGGCAAAAGGACTATATTTATTTTTCTTAGCTATCTGTGAAATTCCCCTACATCCTCATAACAATTACCCCTTTATCTAATCTTTCAATGAGTTTCTCTCTCTTTTTTTATTTTAGAGAGAAAGCTTGCACATGCATGTGACAGTAGGGGGAGTGGCAGAGAGAGAGAATCCCAAGCTGGCTCCCATCTGAGCACAGAGCCTGAATGCCTGGCTTGATCTCTCAACCCTGAGATCATGACCCAAGCCAAAATTAAGAGTTGGACGCTTATTTAACCAGCTGAACCACCTAGGTGCCCCCATGAGTTTCTCTCTCTTGCTACAGAGTGTCAACCTTAAAAATAAACTGTCAGTTATTTGACCAGCAAAAAGTGGTTTTCTTTGAGACTAGCAAAAGAATTGCAATTGGGGACATGCAAGCTTCTGCAAACCCAGAGGCAAATCTGGAGAACAAAGGAATTAGAGGAATACTCAAAAGGTGGGGGAGGATTTTGAGGGGCTGTTATAAACCAAAGTCCAAATTGGGAGTTCAAGTGGAGTCACATTTCATTGGTTGAGTTGGGACAGTCTCTCATTCGCTGGGCTGTTGCTAGGCCAGGAGAAAATATTTCTTCCTCCTGCTGAGGTAAGAAACTATAGGCTTCTTCCTGTTGGGGCTCTCCAAGGGAGGACAAATGGTAGGGTGAGAGCTCCCCATTCTGGCCTCCTGACTCCATTTTAAAAGAAATTTATTCAGTTTCACAAAAACAAGCCCTGACTAAGGATCTGGAGATGGCAGGTCTTTTTTGTGTCTTTAGGCATTAGCACTTTGGCTGAGATATGTGATAAATTAATCAATGAATTATCTAGTGAGAATTCTGAGCAGGAGGCATGAAGCATACTGGCTGTATTGAAGACACATCTATCTGAGGATCTTGGAGCTGGAGAAATCTCACAGATCACCTGTATAGTCCAGGAATTCCCTAGATTTTGAATTTCTTGGACCAGTAAAATGTCAATAATATTAGAGGACTAACAGAGTTAACTTTTTATCTGATCAAATAAAAACTTCAGGAAGGAAAAAAAAAAACATCATTTCAATTTTTAAAAAACATGTTTAAATTTAAGAAAAGATGAGGGAGGGCAGCCCAGGTGGCTCAGCGGTTTAGCGCCGCCTTCCGCCCAGGGCCTGATCCTAGAGACCTGGGATGGAGTCCCACGTCGGGCTCCCTGCATGGAGCCCACTTCTCCCTCTGCCTGTGTCTCTGTCTCTGTCTCTCTCTCTCTCTGTGTGTCTCATGAATAAATAGAATCTTTAAAAAAAATAAAATAGTTAAAAAAAAAGAAAAGATGAGGGAGGGGGTATGAGTACAAGGAATAGTCCGGAAAATTGAATAAATTTGCTTCACAGAAAACTCTACATTGTCTTTATTGATCTTTTACCACTTCCTCCCCTTGTTAGTATGAAGATACTACTTAGCATGGCAATGTTGCCCAGTTTAAAAACCCTACATTTCCCAGACTCCCCTGCTGTTAAGTGGCCCTCTAACTTAAATGTAGCCCCTGAGACATAAGTGGAAACTGTTGGATGGGACTTTCAAGAAAGCTTTCTAAAAGAAAGACAAAAAAAACAATAATAATAAAAATAAGAGACAAGAGCAAGGAAGGAACTTTTTAGCCCTTTTCCCCTTCCAACTGCTTCTAACTAAGGTTAGGACAAAATGGCCGGAGTTCCAGTAGTCTTGAACCATAAGGTATCCTTGAGGCTGATAGTCATGGAATAAGGATGGCAGATCAAAAGAAATGGATTCTGGGTCCCCAGTAATCATGGGAGCCACCTAGTTTGCCTAACAGAGCTGCTTTTACAATAAAGAAAAATCCTTTTTTTTTTTTTGTTTTAATCTTTTGTTTCAACCAGCGTTTAGAGCCCTGTTG